TCCACAGTCCATCCAATGTTTTGGGATGCTGCTTATAAAAAACTTGTTTTGAAAGTCCAAATGCATAGTAATCCATAGGAGACACACCAGGGAACTTAGGTGGGATGCATTTGAAGGAAATAGCTTCAATTCTAGTTTTATTTCTCATTTTTTTAAAAATTGAGCAGTAGATTTAAAGGTATCGCTTGGAGCCTTATCCTGATGGAACTTAACACAGTGATGATTGTTTGAATAAGAATTTCTTCTTGAAAAATAGGTGTTAAAACATATTTCGGATAGTAATCCGAATTAATTTTGACCTTCTTTTCTACTTTCATTATTTTAAGTTTTCCATTATAAGAGAATTTAGTAATAAGCATAAAACCTTTAGCAAAACTTTCCTTGTTTTCCTAAACCAACATATCAAGTCTTTTTATTCTCTTTTTTGGTCATAAATCGATCTTTTTCTATTATGTATATCCAAGCCTCATCAATTGTAACTATATGAACATGATGCATTTTTTTTTATTCAAATTTTATAACTTCACACATACTTCACAGTATTTTATAACTTCACAGTTCATACAAATAGAATTAAAGATTTTGCAATAGCTCTTTGGGTGGCTAGATTTTCCTTTAAAACATGAGATGTGACTTAGATTTAATAAGAGCTACACATACTTTTGCAGGGTATGCATTTTTTGCTTTTTTCACAGTCAGATGTAAAATTTGACGTTTCTTCCCTTTCATATTAATTATGTCACTTATTTTATGTGTAGAAATATTAAAATCATGATTTTCACATTTTTTTAAATAACTGAATAAGAGTATTTCTCTTCGGACAGTGCAAAAATATAGCCTTTGATTAACTGTTTATTTTTCAGCCACATTTTAAAGATAAGAATATTCTTAATACTGCAGATAATAACTAAACTTTATTCCAATCTGATGCCAGTCACATTTTTATTTTTAAATGAATATTAAAATTCATGGAGAAAATCAAAATCATTACAGAAATGTGTGAGCAAACTCTGTATGTGATACTACTAAATAATATAATGTAAAAATGTATTTTGCACTAGAATACATTCTGTTAAAGTAAACGATTCCAATGCTTTACCTTAATTCCAAAAAAAGTCCCCCCCCCCCCCAAAAAAGAATATCTTATACTAAAGAGCATAACACACTGTTTTAAAAAATAATATAAAGTCACTTCATTTTTCTTGCACTAATAGTATGTTAAAAATTTTTATGAACACTTATAAACATCACCTGATCTTACACCGTGAGCCTCTCAATGAGGTAAACTAAAGAGAATAAAGTTAACACTAGAAACAATAATAGAAAGTATGTACACACTATAAATATGAGTATACATTTCAGTCAAATAAGTCAAATACTTTCAGCTCACTGACAGGAAAGATAATCTACCAACATAGTTATGACATCAATTTAGTGTGTCAAAATTTGAGGGGTTTCTTAAAACCTCAAAATATATGTAGAGCTCTGCAACACACATTGCCATTTCCCATATTCAATTACAATAGCCCCAAATGACAGCCCTGAGGTGTCTGAAGTTCCATATTTCAGCTATATTACTGACTGCTGCCACATTGCTGCAACTTAGGCAATCTCCTAGCCTCTGCCGCGCAGAACCACAGATACCGAATCAGTCGATACAGGTTAACGTAATTTAATACTTTTAAAAAGTTTGAAAACATTTTTAACAAGCTTTTAAAAAATTCAAAAACAAGCAAGAAAATACTGAGAAAACAATTTACAGCAGGCATTAGATTAAAATATAACAACTAGCATTTCTAAATAAATAACTCCAATGTATGCATTCTTCAGAAAAAATATAGGCTGAATTAAAAGGCTGAACTGTGTAATACAGTTATTTATGTTTTTTTATTCCTAAGTAGTGCTCAGGGAAATTTTTTCAATTCTAGCTTACTTGTTATAAAATTTATGCTTCTCATTCACTGTGTGTTTACCATTACAGAAACTTAACAATATCATTAATTTTATCTGGTATTATGAATACTCTTTTATAATACCAATAGCAAAAAATTAAACTTTCAAAAACTCATAATATACTTCACTGGTTAATTAACTTTTAACATTTTGATAGTCATTAAATATTACAGTTACTCAAAAACAAGACCCTCCTTATATTTTAGAATTAATTTTAAGAAATAAAAATGCAGGTACACATTTGATGACAGCAAAAGTAATTCTGATTATAATAAAAAATAAGCTACCTAATTAAATACAATATTTTATTTAGCGGTAGATATGCAGTTTACATATATAGTGATAACCTGTATGGTTTATTTAAACAGTGTAATTATTCTATACATAGTATGATAACATTGCTTCCTTTCATTCTACAATTTCATTTACCAAATACCCATTTAGAAGACCTTACCAAAATTTAAATATAAAAATGTAGCTGTTATGTCGTGAATTTCAGATATTAATGTTTTGTGTTAAGTATCATTATTCAAGTATCTTTATTTGTACTCATTTATATTTAAAACTGGTAAAAAGAGTATTCTTAAATTGTTAAAGCTTTATTTAACTCGTTATTTTTGAAACTGTAGATAGCGTAACAAAGACAGGAAACTTTATGTGGTAAAACATCTGGTTTATGGCTTACGTTGACAATAGAACTTAAGCAGTTAGGGTGTTTGTCACATTTGTTAGCTGGGAGGCCTTTACTAAATTGGGATTGTACAGGAAGTCATAAATCAGCTTACTCGTTCTCACTTGCCTTTTTGCTTTGTGTATATTGCAATGTTTTATTACAGTTCCCATTCAGGACAGTGGGGGTTTTGTAAGTTTAGGTAATTTGATTTTTTTTCGTTATTTCCTTTCTGCTGGTTAGCTGGGGGAGGTCCACTTTACTTTCCCACGTTTAGGGTACAGATGTCCGGTTGCATTGTCAGATTTTTCTTGTTTTTGATTTGTTGTTGGGGGGTGTAATTTTTCAGTTAAAGATAAAGTAAAATTCTGGAGTTGGTGAGATTTAATTTTATGTAATTTTATAAGCCTATGAACTTACGGGGGTGGAGAGACTGAGATTTCTGAGGAGGCTGTCAGAATGATTCAGAAAATGTCAGAAATGATTCAGAATTCAGAGCTGGAGTGATGTAAAGTTTTGTAAAAAAGGTTTCGAAGGGCATTTGCCCGGTGGTGGGGCTTGTGCCCACGATCAGGTGTAGTGGTTTCTCTTGGCTTTTAGCTGATGAGAGCTTTGCATAATGACAGAAGCTTAAAAAAAAAAAAAAAAAAAAAAAAAAACATAGCTTCGCCGTTTCTTTATGTATTTTCTGAGAACTTTGAATAGTCATTTTCGAGGCATTCCAGATAGAAGCATTTGTTATAGACAGAAGGTGTTGATTACAGATAGAGATTTGTACCAGACAGAAGTTTGTAGTTTGTTCTGAAGATGCTCTACGCAAGTTTCGAAGTGTTCCAGTTAGAAGCACCTGTTTTATTATCTGGCTGCAGTGTGCGATGCGGGTAATTCATCTTGTGGTGTCTCCGTTGAGTTTTCTGCCACCCTTTTCTTCTTAATTCCGGTTGTGGGGCTGAGGAATTCATTTTGTGTCATTAGTCTTTTCAAATCATCTACTTCAGTATTAGTGATGTACATCTTAGTGCCTCCAACGAACGATGATCCTTCTTCAGCCTTATATGGACCAACAGAGCTCGCAAATTCTGCAAGGCTTCCGTTAAGTGGTTGCAGAGTGTGACGACGTGTTCTTGTCTACTAACTGTGAGTTATCTTATTCTTTTTATTTGGAAAGAATTATTGGTTGTGCCATAAGTAAAATTTAAAATCACTGTGACTAAAATATGTAATTTCCATAATTGTAAGTTCTGTTTTGTTAGTGATCAAATTTTTAAAATAACTAAATTTATGTATAGAATAAACTTAATAATCATTTGTTCTGTTAAATTTCAAAATTGTTCTACTGAAATGACTAGACATAATAATGAGAAATGTAATTTAATTGTATGCAGGAGATACTGATCAGTTATCCATTATTTACTAATAATTTAATAAATGTTTGTTTAAAATTTAATTACATTTGTTTAATTATTCTGTGTGTAATTTACGGTGGTCTGTCATGTCACTCCATTTGTTTGAGGCAGGAGGCTTTTAAAAAACATAAAGCTTTATTGAATTTGGTGTTATTGTTTATTTTCCCCCTGGTAGGCTTCACAACGCGCCCAGTTGTACTAACCACTTACGGTTACTGATTTGATTATGTGTTTGGGTTTAATGCTAATTGATACTTAGGTGCTAGGATTGAAATTAAACTTCTGATCGATTTTTTTTTGAGGGACTGTTTGTGATTATGAGCATCTCTTCGCTGGTGCTTGTGAGGTTCTAGTTTAATGAAAATGAACTTGTTGCTATCAACTGAATTATTGAAGTGATTGAATATGTAGTTAAATGGATTTAAGAGATTTAGCCTATGAGAGTTAATGTTTTATTTTACCCGAGCACCTGAGAAGATTTATTCCTCTTCCTTTATTTCAGATTAAGTCTAATTAAAGGTGTGTGAAGTTGCATTCATTGAATTGATTTTTAAGATATGTTTTGTTAAAAGTATATGAGTTAGATAACCACACAGTTCCTCTCTCCTGCTTTACACACTTCAGGTTTAATAAGAGAATTTGATTTTAGTGTAGTTTGTCCGACACCAGTCAGACAGTTAAGTCAGTAAGTTAAGTTGAGTTTAAATTTTAAAAGTTAAAACCCCCCTTAATTTTCAGCTATTTAATTTAGCAAAAAGGGAGGGAAAAAGGAGGGAAGTTTTATTTTTAGGTAAATATAGTATTAGTGAGATGACAAATGAATATTACATTAACCCTTCCTTTTAAAAAACAAATTTTAAATTTCATTAAACAACAATAATACTACTACTGGAAACAAAATTAAGCAACTGAAGAGGCATATTAACAACTCATACTTTTTCATGTTTATGAAAGATTAAAAATACTTTTACCTATCTGGATATTCCCATGTAGTGGGAGGTACTTGCTTTGAACTCTGATCTTCCAATGACCATAATTTATAAAACAACAGCATGTTTAGGAATAGAAGAATTACTAACCTAAAAAATAGTTTTCAATATTTCAAATATTTTCAATTATAACATACATTTTGTACAGACATCCATCACTTAAATCTATCGAAAGCATACTAATTTGAAATAACAAGCTTAAAACTATTTATATTTAGGATTTTTAACTTTCCCAATTAACTACAAATACACATTATAATTGTGTTAACAACTATTACAATAAAGAGCAAAGGTTTTCCCATTTTTGTTATGATGAATTAACAAAGCATTTGACAAGTTGCCCTTATACAGTACAAAGTTCGAAATCCGGATGCCCATTATTCAGAATGATCTAAAATCTGAATCTCAAACCACCAACAAAGCTTCTCTCATAGGCTTTATGCATGTGTATTTGAATCCCCCCTTGCACACAATAAAACATCTGGAGAGTCCTGATTCTTATTTTCACTTCATAATTTTGTGAAACATAACATTTTCTATAAGCATACAAAGTTCAAAAACATAAACATTTTCGAAAGTGTCCACAATTTTGGCCACCACTGTACATTTAGGGGTATTTGAATTAAGAATAACTGATTTGTTATTCACATAAACCCAGAACTAGCGCCAGGGCTCATATGGCCGCACAGAGTCACAGGATTTAGGACCCCCAGACACTGCATCAGGCATTATGTTATCTAGTGCCGGACCTCAATAAGGCTTAAGCATATGTGGGAATTTATTTATTCGGAACTCTGATAAGACTTAAACATGTGCAAGAAATAAACATAAGTATAATAAATAACTAAACTAATACAATTCAGGTGTAATTGTCTCAGTGCACGATAGAAGCAAGACAAAATTTAAGGGAACAACTTGTCCTTAGTCGCCAAGCTCATGATGCATAGCCAAATATGTATAGTGAAGGATAGCTAAATTTGATGATAATAGCCGCAAATTTTAAAGTTTTCTGGATATCACAAAACAAAGGTGAAATTTTCCAAATAACGGATTTTGTAAAGAAATGTGGAGAAGCGGTAATAAATGAAGATGATATAAAAGAAGTTTTTCATTGTGATGACAATGCTTCTCAAATCATCAATCAATTAATGAACAGTGAAATCTAGATGGTTCTAGATTCACCGCTGCCAATAGTGAAGAAAGTGACAGACAAGTTACTGAAAACAAGAAGATTTCGATTGACAAGTTAGTCGGAATTCTCGAAACAGCAGTTACTGGACTTGAACAATGTAAGTAAACATGAGATTATATCTGTCTATATAATTATGAGAAAGTATTAGCATAAAAAACGAAGCAACTTAAACAACTTACAGTGAAAGAAATGTTTAATAAAGTAAACAAATAAATATTAAGCTTTTTTCTGTAAATTTTGATACCCTTTAGATAATAAATACTTCATTATTTCATAAATCACAATTTCATGTTTTTAATTTTATAATTTCTACATGACATCTTACTAGATTTAAACTGATGATCTAATATACGGCAAAAATCCCAAATCCAGAATCGTTGAAGTCCCGACGTATACAGATTTCGGACTTAGTACTGTATATTTAACGGAAAAGAAGCATTTTGATTGTCAATAACAACTTGGCAAATAAATGCTCCTTACAGTTGAAGACTGCTTAGAATATAGTTATTTTTAATTACTTTTTCTTTGATACCAATTTGCCAGAAACCCATATATTTTCTGAAAGCTTATGTTATGAGTAGAAAACTGTGAGGTCTTAGGGGCAGAGGAAAAAGCATTTAGGAGCTATATGACCTACACAGTATCCTTAAAGTATGTATAGATGGATATATTCCCATAATGACATTTCTATTTCTTGCATATTCATGCATTGTCTGCTTCCAAAGTACCTGATGGTAAAATCCTACAAAAAGAACTGGTACCTGAAGGATGTATGGGGAAAGATCCAGCCTCTGGATATTCATTTTTTCAGACATTATAAATATTTTGTTCGTTACATAATGGACACAATCATTATTGAGACACAGAAGTACATTTGGCATTGCAATAGTTTTCTGGCCCTACAGTCCCTTTTTGCTATATCAGTTCAGTGTTCCTTGTTTCAAGAATTTGATTAAGTATGCTTTTTATAAGAGCAGATACTTGGACGATGAACTTGGAATGTGCATTGCACCAATGCATTACTGCTTTGATTCATTGACATATGATGAGTGTGCAAGCTGTGAGGCTATCGCTTTTGTAAAATGTGCCCATTGTAAACTGTCTTTCTGCCCATCTCACTGTTTATTTGATGAATTGTACACTGATTTTCTCTTGTAAAAGATTTTGTTTGAACTGAATAACAAGTCACATTTTCAACATAACAGTGTATATTGGTTCTTTTCAATGAGTTGTTTCTTCCTTTATATTGAGTTCTCCACCTTCTCACCACATTATTAGTTCATATAAATAAGTGAAACAAGCATTTTAGTGACTTTTGGTGTCATGTTTCCAATACTTTACTGATACTTTCATTGTCTTCACAATTGACCACACCTAATATTGTGGGTCCTATAGCTCCTAAACGCTTGACAATAAGATTCCTCTAACCTCTGCCCTAAGACTTCACAGTTTTTCTACTTGTGACATAAGCTTTCAGAATATATATGGGTTTCCGGTAAACTGATATCAAAGGAGAGAAAGTTTACTTGTGAGATTGAAATTCTTCATTAAAACTTTACACAAATCCTAAAATAATTTAAAACTAGTCATAAAAATATTTGAAACATGAAGTATAAAGTAAAATACATAATTATCAAAATGCACCACAAAATACATTAATAAACAATACTTAAAAGTCAGTATACTGCATCAACAATTATTTTGATATAATTATACTTAACATACCATTTTGAGATAATTGTGAGTTATCCGAAAACAGAATCTACTACAGATGCTTAAAGCAGAGTAATCTGCCAATAAAGTCTGCACTTCAACATGTAGTATAAGATTGGTTTGTTTTATTTAATTATGGCAAAGCAGACTAGGGCTATCTGCCTAAGGGGAGGGATGCCTTCATGGAGGACTTTCTAAGGAAAACTGACTCGTATACACGTTACACATGAAAAGTACGAAAACGCCCATGCAGCCAGCCCATTCGTGGGATTCGAACCTCGGACCAAACTACCAGCGTTCAACGACTTTACAGCTCGGCCGCTGGTGGGCCCATGTAGTATAAGAAAATTAACAGATAATTTTCCACTATATTTTAGCATTGTAAGGTCAACAGTTTTTATACTCTTATCGCCTACCAGCCTCTATTTTGTTATAAACTACTAATAAGATAACAGTGCTATAGGCAAAAACCCAATACAGCAGATAAACATTACCATGCCCATAAACTTTTTTTCTATTTATTTTTATTAATTTATTGCATACTTCTGAAGTTATATTACAGGCAGTAGCTATTCAGTACTTATCCTGTAGAGGTGGGAGGAGTCAACCAGACCACTGCCATAACAAATAATAAAATAACCAATATTGAGATTCCCATTAAAGTTACCTTAATGCATTTAGTAATCAATCATAGCTCCCAAATCTGGATAGCCCACAAATACTCATTTTGAAAATATTATTAATAAAGCAAACTGAATTTTGTATATTTTTAAAGAAAGTAAATAAATCTTACGTTATAAGAATTACACGAATAACAATATCTGGTGTAGATCCTAAAGATGCTAAATCTATACCAGAAATAGAAGGCCCTGAAATGCAACGAATAACTTATAAATTTATTAATTCATCAATAGTATATAATGAATTATTAATCAATTAATTTTAATATATTTCTCCTAAATATACCTCATTAAAAATTAAAAAATAACCAATAGTGTAAAATAAAAAACAATTTTCAAGAAAATGAAATATGCATAAAATTACATAAAGGCAAAAAAACTCTTGCATAAATTTAAATTTGAGCTTGAAAAATTAGCTAAAAGACATCTTATAAAAAAATACAATAATTAGTGATAATTATATCAAATCAATAGTCGCTCTTTCAGAAGATGTTTCAAATAACATGTCTTAACAAACATCTATTAGCTTCTAATTTTTTAGACATACTTTTAATCTAAATAAATACTTACCTAAATTCCTAATAGTTGCTTGTCTTTGTAAACTTCTAGGAGCATCTTTCAAAGTTTCACATTTAATGGAATCAAATTTCATTCTTTTCCTCCTTCGTGGTTTTTTGACTAAGTTTTGACTAGAATTCTCAGCCTCTTTGTTAAGGGCATTTGCTAAAATAAGAGAAAAAATTTACATTGAGCTATAATAAAAATTAATGCACACTAAATCATTCATATGAATTATATCCATATCTATAATTAATTAATATAATAAAAAAACTGATTCCTTAATTATGCAAATGTCTTACCTAAATCTGTAGCAAAGTCAGCTAATCCTTGCATTGCACTTTTCTCTATAAGAGCTAAGAGGAAAAAAATTTCTTAAAATAAAATGTTTACAGTTTAATGCAAATATGCATATAGAGTTTTAAAATTATGTTTAATAGATATATTATTTAATACACTTGTAAATTTACATTAGGGTTTCTTAAACTTTTTTCAGTCACGACCCCTTTTTATCACAGAGATTTCTTTGGGATTCCTCATAATATTTAAAAAAATTTTGTGGGACCTCGTAAGTATTGCGCAAATCTGTCACACGCATGAGTGAAACTGTCAATTTTCTCACTTGTACTGTAATATACTATTGCAGTTTTAGGTAATTAACTTTAGTTTCTAATTTTAAGATATAGAACAATGTGAAAATTTTAAATAGGTGACAGACGAAATGACAGTGTCACGTGCAAAGCAAGGAAAATGAACGTTTATGTTATAAAAATAATATGTCGAAATGTTTTTGTTTTTCCTATGTCTTTATTGTCTTATCTTTATCTATTTTCAGATACATTGTGTAAAAATATTTGGAAATTGTAAAATTATTAAAAGAAATATCAAACTGCTAATATTTTTGGCGTCCCCCTGCTGCAGGTTATGGACCCATAGTTTAAGAAACCCTGATTTACACACAGATTCCAATCTTGTTTTCTTAGTTATATGCTAACAAACCAGATTGTTTAGCATCATTAATTTATAACTATATTAATAATACATAACATGAATATTATTTATACCCAGCAATATACATTGTTGGCCATTCAAATTGCAGCACCAAGAAAGAAACAGGCATGTGACATGAAATGTGCATAATAAATAGAGCATGGTAGGCTATGGCAGCAAAACTGTACATTGAATGCCAGCTCATGTTTTGTTTCTTCTAAGTGATTGGTTGGTTCTTGCATTAGGTTGGCTTCAACAGTTTTCAGCATAACCCTTGCAAGTAGTTTCTGAGGGTATTTCATTGTTAGTAAGACTAAGACAATCACTACATGGATGAATCTATTTTTTTAAATTTAGGGAAACTTGTTCTCTCAACACATTGAGGAAGGGGGAAATTATATGAGTATTTTTAAAATTTTCAGAACCTGACCCTAAAAAGCTGGGGAGGGGAAGGGATATGTAAGGTACAAAAAATTTCTTTAATGTACCTATTGATGAGAACATTATATATGAGAGTATACACTGAATCTATATTTGAGAGGATTCAGTATACACTGAATCTTTCAAAACTGAGTCTTAATTTTTGTTTTAATTTTACCATGTTTGAAGTTATATGTTAATTAATTTTAAATTAATTACAGATTTTACTGTGGCATAATGCTATGTCAAGAATACTTAGCATTTGAGTATAATACATTAGCATTTCAGTATACCAGATCTCCTCAATAATCAATAAATTCATCAATTCACTCATTTCTGTATTTCCATTTTAGAAAAACTGACATTCAGTATAATTATGGTACATTAATAATGTTGTATTTGGTTTTAAAAAAAGTATTATCACTACTTATTTGAAATAAATAATGTAATAATGTCTTTTATTTCATTATATGTTCTGATTAAAATAACATAAGAAGACGTATTGCAGAAATGCTATAAGGGGATGAAGCAGAAGGTCAAAGCTCTGAAAGCAGAAGTTAAGGGTACTTGACATTACACAGTCTTAGTAAGGGGTACAAAAAAGAGAAAAGGTTGGGAACTGCTGATCTATAATGCACAAAATCACAGGGTCCAATGAGGATAGATTAATGAAAAATAAGCACTACACTATGTAGCCAAATTTTGCTAACATTTCAAAATTTAAAGGATGCCTGTCTCACTTAATGCATATTAAATTATTACAATGTTAACAAGAACTGAAGTAAATAATCTTTATGTGACTGCATTTGAGACAGTAAGGGAGATTTTAATAAGCTTTTAAATTAGAACACTTCTTTTTTAATCTTTTGCATGAATACAGTTCTCTACTTTCAGAAAAATCTTTCAAATGTTTTGTTCATGATGGGAATCAAATAAGACTATCCCCAAATGCTAATAACTGATTTAAAATGTGTACAGAATGGAAATGGAAATTTGTACGTATACAGTTCTCTCTTTTCAGAAAAATCTTTCAAATGTTTTGTTCATGATGGGAATCAAATAAAACTATCTCCAAACGTTAGTAACTGATTTAAAATTTGTATAAAGTGGAAATGGAAATATATAATAAATATCTGAAGCATCTTTCTAAGATTCAAACCAAAGTAATTACAGTATTAGCATATTTTTCCTTTTGAATTATGACCTTATATTTTTTTTATTAATGAGTATTAAATTTTAAATTATAAAATGTACTTTTCTTTTAAATTATAAAATTTAAAAGAAAAATACATTTTAAAAAAACTGACAATACTTAAAGCCATAAGAAAAATACATTAAAAAAAACTGACAATACTCAAAACCATATGTAGCTCAATCAATCTATCAGCTAAAATGCCACAAAATTTAGTAAGGGAACTAATGACAGACAACATGGGAAAACAGATCCCCCTACACATAAAAAAATAGCTCCGAAAGTCACGGAAGGGAGTATTGTTGTAATTTTCCCAACTGAAAATTATACAAATGAGTAACAAAGATGAAACATCAGAACACTTCTTTACTGCGGAAAATAAATTGCCTGAAAGGGATCGCATTTTAGTGCATCATAACATTGTTCTTAAATGGTCTCAAACTCCCTGCCCATGGGCTGCATGTGACCCCTAAAACTACTTTATGTGACCCACAAATGCATTTCAATTACATATTTATTGCAAAAACAGTTCTTATAGTTTTAGAGGCATGAAGATATGGACTGAGCTTATGTGCATTACTGCTGAAGGAAAAAAAAAAAAAATGAATAGGTTAGAGCTTTGTCAATGTACACTTGTATGCCAAGCCACATCACTAAGGTTAGAGGTGGTCAATGTACGCTTGTAATGCCACACTGGGGTAAGATGGGAGACCTTCCCATGCTGGTACAGTTGGTAAATTTAGCTTGCTAGACAACAGCTGATGGCACTTCAGTATTTTGAAATTTTTGGTTTTCCAATTAAATTAAAACTAAGTTAATTAGTGCTTAATTAAACATACTGGAAATACCTAAAATAAATGTCAGTCTAAAATTTAATACTTCACTGTCAATATATTTGAATTATAAAGTATAATCAATACTAATCTTTTGCAATTACCATCATTAGACTTCAGTTTTAAAATAATTACAAATTTGATCCTTTATGATGTTAGCATTATTGTTTATCTAGGTCCTGATACATATTCAATAAATAAATTTTAAATTTAGTTTATTATTATTATTTTGTTACAATTTTGTTAAAAAAATGCTCTGGCCTATGCATTTGGATTCAGATAATGTGTGAATTCAGATAGTGCATTTGGCTCACACAATTTGGGTATGAGACTACTATTTTATTCAATAAAACCATTTCCTTGGTAAAAGTGTAAACCTCTTTTAATGTGACCACCCTTCTCGTGGATTAGACACTGCATCATGTACACGACATTCTCGATGGCCAAATATAACATGTAATCACGATGCTTAGTACAGTTAGTGACAAGTTGTCCTTTAAGATCATCAAGAACAAAACTTCACCAAGATAGACCTTGGACTTCAAATAATCACACTGGAAAACATTACATGTTTCCAGGTTAGATATGGGGAATGAGGTGGCCATGTAAGTGGAGAAAAGCAACTTACAACCTTTTCCTATGTGGAATATCTGCTATACTGATTGATCAATGAGTGGATATTCTATGTCCTACATAAAAGTTACCTGATCCAGCAATTTCCTCTATTGAAGCTATGGAATAATAAAACCAATCAGCATATCATGATACCTTTGCATGATAATAGTACAGATTTGTGGCTTTGTTAGAGTAATGTTCTCAAAAAGAAATGGTCCAATGATGAAATCTACTGTGAAGCCACACCTGAATTAAATCTCCAAATTCGGCAATTATGAGGATTAACAGTCCCATTTAGGTGAATATGGGCCTCAACTTCCAAAACCAGGAATGGGCAACCTATGACCCGGGGGCCAAAACCAGGCCCACGGATAGAATTTTAATTTGCCGGTCTCAGGCAAATTAAAAGAAATGTATATTTATATATTATATATCCATCTCCTTTTCTACTTCATTTAAATATTATTTTTTCTTCATTTTTTTTAAAGGACTGATGATCTTATTATTTTCTATATTTTTGCTCTACAAAACATAAATTGATGGAAATAGCAAGCACAGACAGCTTTCAATCGGTAAAGTGTTAAAAGTGGGTATAGCTGTAGATTGGCACCAAGAAGCGTTATTGCTTTCTCAAGGAGCAGACATATGGGAATCTAGAGCAGGTGAATTAAATGTTGCACATTTTAAGCTCAAGCCAGCGGCTTTTTCTTTTGGTGCGAGTTCTAATATTATTGCTTGTGTATGAAAAGATTGCGCACATATAGCATCATTGTGAATAGTGGTGAAATTATTAAACGTATAGCATAGCTAGTGCTTGTTTGGGTTATTCGTAAAATATTTCAACCCCGAAATGGCTACTAAAAAATGTAAAGTGCTGTGCTTTTAATGATGAATGGACCTGGAAGTATTTTTTTACAGTTATAAAAGACAAACCAGTGTGTCTCATCTGCAATGAAGCTGTGGCAGTCTTCAAAGAATATAACGTTTCCCGTCATTTCACATCTAAGCGTAAGAATTCCAGTTACGAAGCAATGTCCGAATATGAAAGACAACAAAATGCAGAAAGTAAGTTTTGTAAAACATTATCAGGCTGACAAAATTTTTTCAAGAAGATAAACAGTATCCAGATCTTAAGATTTCAGTGCCATTCAAGCAGAAGTGGATATTTTTACCAAGCCTTTTAACATAAATTGTGAAGCAGTGTGTTCAGATTTGCAGCTTGAATTAATTGAGTTGCAATCTAACAATCATCTCAAAAGTTGTTTCTAAAATATGCCAAAGTTAGAGTTTTACAAATGATTATCGA